AAACATTAATATTTAATTCTAATATTTATTAAGCTTTTATTAATATATATATAAATTACTATATTATACTAGTATATGACCTTTATAATAATACTACTGGAAATCACATACTGTATACTCTATGGTATATTACTGTAAATCGGTATATAAACATTATATCTGTTATAACACTTAAGAAAATTATGTTTTTATAGCGCCATTCAAAAGCATATGAATTCTGTGCATCATTATAGCATACCTGTGCTACACGTCTAGCCATTCAAACCATTCAAGTCTATTGTTATAGATTTTTTGTCTTCACATCCATTGTCTCCAACTATACATAAAAATATGTTTCTTACAAACACGTGAAATATAATAAAGTATTACTTTTTAATATACATAATAAATAATGATTATTATATTATAATATAATTAGTTTTCCTGTTTTTAATGCTGTTTTGTTGTCCAATTAATTTCTCAAGAGATGACTTCATTCGTGTCATTAAAGTGAGAATAATTTTGTTTTATATTTTATAATATTTACATTAGATTATATAAATCTATATTTTATTATATTTTTACAAATTCTATAAATATTAGATTTAAATTAATTGAAAATGACTTTAAAATATTTATATAAATAATACAATAAAAAAGTTACACAATTTTTATTCATCGTAATTCATATTGTATAAAATTTTAAGTATTTTTATATAATTATAGAATAAACAGTGTAAACAATATTAATTTTACAATAATGATTATGTAATTAAAGTAAAAAATATTAGTTAACAATAGCCTAGATATTATCCAAAAGAATCTAAATAATTCTGACTAATAATTAAATATTAATAAAAAACAAATTACTATATCGTGCCTTTATACAACAATTTTACATTGAATTAAATTTCAAATTACATTTGAACATATTTGTCTCATAAATACTTATTAAGGCTTATTAAAGGGTTTAGCATTTTAAGCAGATTTTAAAGAATGTTTACATATAAAGAATTTCTTCACTATATCTCTTGTCTATAATAATAAAGTATATTAATAGTGGCAATAGTTATGGTAACCATAGGAACCACAGAATATTCTGCCTCTCACAAAGAATATTCAGTGCTTTTTATTGCACTTTAATATTAAATACATTTTAAAAGTATATTCCTATGTTTCAAATATGTTTTGCAAATTTAATTAAAAGGAATATTTTAAATTTTATTGATATTTTTATATTTCTGTATAATAGTATTCATAGGGTAGATATTTATGCAAATAATATTCTGTAACTATTTGTTATTTGTTTCAATATCAGGAATTTTTAAAATTATTTATTTTTCCATAGTATTATGCAATGCTTGTATCTGATTAGTTAATTGCAATTAGTGAATTTAAAAAATTATTTCCACTTTATGCATCTAAAATAACCCTGAATTTCTGTTTCTATATTTATTTATAAATTAAATAATAAAATAATTTTAATTCAATATCCACATTGTGTTTCATTAATTTGTATTGTATTTTCATTAAAATTCAATTAAATATTTAAAATGTGAATACTACTTTTCACGTAAACCCAAACGAAAAATCAATACATAATTTGAATAACTTTTAACTCAATTGAGTTTTATGTTTAGCATTATATTATAGAAATGCATGCGTTTTATTTGAAATGCAAAATTGGTATACTTTTAAGTCAATTGTCAAACAAGTGGATAAAGAATATGTTGAATACTATACTAATAAATAAAAGTGTTTACAGACATTCAAATGTCATCAACATAAAGGGAATAAAAAATCTATCGATTCAATTCAAAATCATATAAAAATAAATAAACATATTTGACAAAACCACAAACACATAAATCTCTACCATGTGAAACAGTTTTCATAATTTATTTTAATGTCAATAAAGGGAATAAAAAATCTATCGATTCAATTCAAAATCATATAAAAATAAATAAACATATTTGACAAAACCACAAACACATAAATCTCTACCATGTGAAACAGTTTTCATAATTTATTTTAATGTCAAATTTTAAATGTATATTATTTTTAAAGTTTATAGTTCTTATATCACCAAAAAATGAATTCTTTACCCTTGTATTAATTTAGTTCAATTTAATAAATACATAATACTAATACCACTGTATATTAGCTTGTTTTTTATATAACTCTTACCAATAGTTTGTAATCTGATTAGTGAGAAGAGTAGATGTGGTCATCCCTGTGATGCAAATCAAAGGGAATCAGTGAATAGGAATGCGCTTAAAATTCTATATTATGACACCCACTGGTTTGTGGGCATTACATAACAGTAGGCTTTCATTTGCATTGTAATAATGTCAGGGATAGTGTGGGAAGAGATGTGTCGATAACTGAAAAAATGTATCAAAGCATTCATAATACTGAATGCATTTTATACAATCTTACGGTAGCAATATTTTGATAAACAATTGATTATGTTAAACAATAATTTTAAATTATTTTTTGTAATATGAATATGAATTTAAGGTTAAAATCAAATTTTTACTATGTTTAATTAAAGTTTTAAGTGATAGTTTCAGTTAAACTTCTATACTTTGTACATTTATCCGACTTTTATTTATCTGATCAATGGTTTTGTAATTTACTTATTACTGTACTAATAATTTTATATTAATCGTTTGAGCGTCAGTGTGATTATTTGTCACATTAAAATTGTAAATATTGATGTTTTAAACCTAGCTTACCCAATTCAAATACATTGAGTAATTTAGGAATTATTGCCCTAAAACTTGAAACTATTTTTCATTACATTTTTATTGAAAGAATTCCATTTAAACAATAATTAAACATTTTTAAAGTTAACTCATTTTTAGTGTTCATCACAAAGCATTAAGCTTTTTAATATCAATTTAAGGGTTAAAATGCTTTCAAAGTAATATCCACAGGCAATTTATCAGGATATTTATGATCATAACAGTGAGAGAGAGAGAGAGAGAGAGAGAGAGAGCATATATACTGTAAGTACGGTGTTTCTGGTCATGCATTGTATAACAGTCTATGAGAGCCCTCTCAGCAAAAGGCACTATCGATCGGACACAACGCACACCATAACTATCCCCCCGTTCCTCACACTCGCCATACATTGTCTCATATATACACTGTGTATATACTATACCTACCATTCCCCCCTTAATATACACTCTATATATGGCGCACAATCGACGGGTGCTTCACACGACAGATTATCGACTGAAAATGTTTTGATACCATTCCCCATACTATCGGTATATTTTCGATGCAAAGTGTGTATTATATAAGTAAAGCACACGAATGCGTGTATTGTATAGGAAAATGTCGGCACAAGTCTATTGACTACCAGTGCTGCTGCTCTCGAGCGCTCAAGAATCGCCAGTTTTGTGGTGTCGTTCCGCGTATACATCGATGTGTCGATACATTTTTGAGAAATACCTGAATATTCTTAGCATTGTATTTGAATACATAATATAAATAATACTTTGTGTGCACTTATATTCTGTGTATAAATCATTTTAAGCAGTAAAAATAAAAATCAACACTTTAACTATTAGTGATTCTGTGTGTATATAATAATATAATTAAAAATTTATTTTGTTATTATTGTATAATAATTATCGCTATTTATTGAAGTGAAATTTTTTGTCGTTTTATTAGTATTATGTATATCTTATATATGTAGTGAATTAGTGGATAATACTATGGTATGAATTGCCGTTATATTAATAGATAGATATAATTAACAATTACATAATAAACTATAAAAACTAATATAGTGTATATTTTTATTGTGCCTTTAATCCGGGTTTCTGTGTATTTATTTTTCTTATTATTATTATCAAATCCTTCATATATATCATACATTATTTGAAATATAAAATAATTATTTATTTAATGAATTAATTGCATGAGTGGGAGAGGTATTGTATTGTATTTGCATTTTCATATAAAGTAATAAATATCTATTTAAAAAGACACAAATCCCTAGTTTATCTCTTTTTGTTATAGTGATAAATAACACAATTATAAAAATATAAATATAATTTTAAAAAATTCATACTATCTTTTTAAAAAATATTAAATATTTCAAGAATTAACTATATTTTTAATGTAAGAAATTAAGTATTATATTTTATCGGGAGATATGCTATCGTGGATAATTATAATAAATATAATATATTTTACTATTTTTATTAAACCTTGATCTTTATAATTATTACTATAATTATAACTTTATGTTATTTATAATCCTAATATTGATCTAAATTTTGTTATTGATTCATTTGTTATTTTAATACTGTACAGGATTTTGTATTTAAATTATATTTATAAAAATATCGGTGAAAATACAATTTACAGTTAAGTTACAATATAATTTATGATTTATTTTTAAAATTAAAAATATTCTTTGGTAAATAGTAATTATTTAAAAATAATGTTTATTAATTTGACATACAAATAATGTTCATAAAATAATTCCTAATATTGTATTAACGTCTTACCAAAAACTTTACTAAATAGTAAGCAGAAAATTAAGTATAAAATATCATAATAAATAATAGATTTTAAATTATTAAAGAAATATTTTACATAATTTTAATTCAAATTATGTTTCATTGTTTAATTGAGTCTAAAATGTAATTAATTTCTAAATAAAGACATTCATTGTTCGTGAGCTACGAGTGGACAGGAATGCCAGTCCATCACATAAAAACAAACCACTTAATCAAAAATCAATGATTCAGTTCAGTGTTTATGTGTTGCCATACAATCACAGACTACTAGAGAATATCAACTAAATTAGAGTTTAATTCTTGAGACACAATATTATCTATAAGTCAATTCACCGCATCTCTCTCTCTCTCTCTCTCTCACACACACACACACTCACTCACTCACTCTCTTTCTCTCAATTATTTATCTCAAAGAAAATAAATTAACGTTTGAATCAATCATCTCTCACTCCCTCCACAGAAACGTCTATTCATTATGCGATGAATTATTTGAAGAAAAAATTAAAATTGAGTCAAAAGGCAAAGCATGACGACGACGACGAATACGAGAATTACATCCCAGTTGTACCGCCACATCCTTCCACACTAATCGCCGCACAGACCGCCGCCAACTCTGTCGGCTCCGCAAGTCATCCAGTGTTCATCACTCAACCAAATGGTGATCCCTCGCAACCACTACCGGGCATAACATCTGACGCCGCGCCACAGGAACCGCAGATCAGTACCGAAGAGCTACTGAAACAACTGAAGGAAAAGGAGTTCATTCGTCGACAGGAAGAGAAGGCCAAACTCGCCGCACAGGAAAAGGAGAAACAAAATCGCGAGGACTGGAAGTTCTTCTTGAATTTGACGGCAAAAGTCGAGGACATCACTAATAAAACTCAAAGTGCTTTAGAGAAACTTAAGGACACTTCCGCTGTCGACGAGATTAAGAGTCCGGTTCACGAGGGACTCGAATATGTCGAGGAGCCAGACATTGTGGTCGTGAAGGGCGCCGGCAGTTGGGTTGCATTCAGCGAAGACGGTCACGCATTCTCACCCCAACCACAAGATCCCGGTTCGCAGTCTTCTTATTATCTTATTTGTTATAATGTTTTTATTTTATTTCTAATACCATTTTTAATATATTATCACTTTTGGGTTTGATTAGTTAGTTAAACATTTTGAACTATCAGTATTTTATAATTAAAATCACATAACTATTATATTAGTTCAAATGATTATTTGAACCCATTTTAAAACATGTTTATTCGTTAAATAATTGAAATACAATTTTATAGTTATCATTCCAACACTTTATTGCCAAAATATCTGTGGGTTTATTAATCTGTATTACAGAAGTATGGTCTAATATAAAGCACAGTTTAAAATTAGTACTTCCCACTAACATACTAAAAATAATAATTGTTTATTTAATTATTCAAAATTGAAACAAAAGTCTATAAGAAAAATATTGACTATTATATTAAAAATACAGAAGACTCATAGAGTCTTATTATAGACAAAAAAAACAATATAAATGTTTTGTTTTAAAATTGGGATGATATTTTGCACTTTTATTAAAGATTTAATGCATTTATGACTACAATAGTGATACAAAGTAGTTCTGTATGTGACTTAAAGTCATTATTAACTAAACTGAAGTTAAATATACAGTATAATCAAACATCAGACGTCTTTACAGAGTATATAATTTATATTATCTATAAACTGACTTAAGTTGTAATATACTGAGACATTAAGTGAAGAATCAATAATTGATTTAATGTAAAGATTAAATAGTGAATCACTAAACATTGTTTTGTTTATTGTTCACTACTAAACAAAAGCATATCATCTTATCAAGTTAATATTATATCATCTTAAATCAAATGTACAACAATTTAAAAAATTTGATATAATAGCAGCACATTTTATATTATAAAATATGGGAAACATAAATGAAGTTATACTTTTAATATAGAAGTTTGATATAATAGCATTTTAAATGAGATTTAGATAACAAATTTATATTTTTGTCATGATATCAATTATATTTCTTGTATAAAAATGATTTACCAATATACCATACTTATTTTATTCAGTATTTATTAAATTAAAGTGCTTTAAATATAGTTAAAATATCGTTATACAATTAGTATAAAAATGTAATTAGTATAAATTAGAAAAGTATAGAATTCTACTTTTAAATTGCTTAGACCTTATATGAGATTTTTAAATTTTGATTACATATAAATATCTGAGAAAGGAATATGAGATGAGTCTCCAAAAAATGCTTTAAAACTTTCAATAATGCTTTCGAACTGTACATGTAAGATTAAAGATTAAAAGCATTTTTTTGAGACTCATCTCATATTCTTTTTCAGATATAATTTTAGGAATGTGTTTAATAATTAGAAAATTAAAGTTTTACTGACATTTATAAATATGAAATGTTTCGCTTACAAACAAATTATTTAATGTGAAATTGTTGTTCATTTGGAATGTACAGTACAGTACACTACAAGTGCTGTAAGTATATTAAGTGCTGTAAATCATTGCTACAATTGTTTTGGGAAAATAAATATTTCAAGTTAATTATCATTATATTATTATTATTACAATAAATATAACTGACATATAATATGGTCACACACAAAATAATTAAATATTGAATATTTTTTGTATATTACAATCATATCCAGTTTAAGAATTTAAAGTAAAGAAATTTAAAATAAAATGTCATAACATTTATTCCAACAATATTAATATTTTGTGATAAAAAATATTTTAATATATATAATTTGGTTTTTGAGATATTCATATCGATATTATATACTGTATAGTACTGTATAATAATTTGACATTTTAAATAAACTGCATTGATAAAATAATTTTAATTTTAAATTTATTTCTAATGACAGAAAACAAAGAGAACTGCGAAACAAAGCCAACGAAAACTCCTCAACAGATTACCGAAGAGTCGCTGAAAAAGGTGGCCGAAGTGGCCATACCCGACACCACACACTCATCGCAACTATTAGACGACTTTGGCTTCAATAAGGAGCCCGAAGTCATACCCGTCGCCTACCAGCCCGTCCTCTTCGAAGAGGAGGACTATTTGGACGATCCCTTCGACACCTCTTTCGTGAACGTGTCGACAGTCGCGCCCAAAGCGGCCGCAGAACTCATACTATCGACAAACTCTTGTAGCAAACCATTGGACACCGGCTGTGACCAGGACTTAGAGCCGGACCCGTTTGACACGGCATACCTCGACTGTACTATTAGTGGTCAAAGTGTTGTGAAACCCAACTCCATAGACATCAGTCCCATCGAAACACCCAAAACTTGTCCCGACTATTCCACCAGAATATCCCGCTGTTCATCACGTGATAGCATTATGTCGAACCCATTCCTTCAGGATTATAACGACTACTACACGCCATACGCTTCCGGAGCGCATACACCTTATTCGGGTCAGTCGTGTCTCATTTTAATACCACTTTATATTGATATAAATTTTGTTTTTTGCTGTTTATGTCATATAACTCATTATTAGTCATACGAATGCATATTTATACAACTCTATTGCACAATCATATAGTAATCTAATTTGAATTCTACATAATAATAGTCAACACTTCATACACAGAATCATCAAAATTATAATATTTGGAGTAATTATACGAAATACAATTGGGAGCAGTTATAAATTTATGAAAAAATAATATGCAGATAATGCAAACATTGCATTTAATGACCAAAACTATATAAATCGAAAACAATAATTTTCGAACAAATTGTTATTCATATAAATAGATATTTCTGTATGAGATAGGTGCTATTTTTAGGTATGTTTTGCAAATATTTTCATTTATAAGTTTAAAAATAGCCAAAAATAGATAAATATTGATCTATTTTTAGCCGACTTTGGGAAACAATCACTTCCCTCCCATTAAGGCACAGGTATTTTACTCATTAGATTCTCTATGATATGATGGGCTTTACTCTATTTGCTCCAAAACACGGATCCACCCATTATTCCGTAATAGTATTGACCATATAATGCAAAATATCGTTAATCATAACCATATAAACACAAATTGAACATTAAATCAATGCAGACCTTGTAAAAATTTTAAATCAAAAAAATTTTATCAATAGTAATCAAGCAGATAGTTTGCAATTATCGCCTTTAATTAAAGTATTTGGATTTTTAATAGGATTTGTGATAATATTTACGCCATAATATTCGCGTATATATGATAGTATTGACTAAAAGTGTGTTCAATACTAATCAGGGGATTATTGTATAAGTTTCAAAAGCATTTCGACTAAAGCCTTATGAATACCTTTAATTCAAGATCACAGTTGTGGTGCACTTAAGACTCAATCGATTACTGTTGTCTCTTATTTTTTGGTAATACCTTTTTTGGGCTAACATTTGGACAGCTATTCATTTATCTTATGTTCTGGAAAAGAGTCTCAAGAAAAAAGAAAATATTAGTTTTTATTGTTTACTGTTTAGTGTTTGTATAAACCGAAAAATAGTGTAGAAATTATGATAAATTACATTATAATGAAGCTATGGTCAATAAAGTCAAAGTGTATCAATTTTAATTTTCCCTAAGGAATTTATATTTATATAAGATTTGTAAAATATAAGCTATATACTATTGTATTTGCTTTATAGCAATATTATATAAATACAGTATATTGAATACGAATTTAAAACTTAATTGTCTTCGGGGTATGTGTGGATTATTGAAAGTCATAATGAAAATACAATATAATGTCTACAAAGAGTAAAATATCTTAATTTATATTTGTTTTAATAGTTTTTTAATATAATAATTACAATACTATAACAATTATTACTACTAAATTAACATTATTTGAAAGCTTTCAAAATTTAATGTTCAATAAATTTATAAATTGAATATTTTATTAAAAGGATTAAAAGTATTGGCAAATAATTTAATAACAAGATTTAATCTTATTATACTGTATCAAACATTTATCTTAATAGTAAAGTAATACAATGTAAAATATCGAGAATGTATTGTTTGAATTTTATATTGTTTTCAATAATGGATTACTATAAATATAATAGATATTAAAATTAATTTTACCACACAATACGAGCATTAATAGTTTAGTTATGTAAAAGAAATATAAAAGCTATTAAGAGCCGTTCAATAAATAATTATTATTAATATTTGATAAATTTCTCTTTTATTAAAAATTATTATTTAGTTATTATATTAAACAAAAATAAATACAATATTAATCATAGTGTCTGTGCAAAAAATAGAGAAATATTTATTTAGGTATAAATTGTCTACAAAGATTATTTTTAATAAAACCTTTTATGATAGAGCCGATTCAGGTTGTTTAAAATAAAATATCGATTATTTTATTTAAATATGCTACATATATTATATAAATGAAAAATTACTCAACTCTAATTTAAATAAACAAATTTATCAACATAATTATTTTTAAAATTAATTACACACATAATTTAGATGTGTCGCATACTGTGAATTTGTTTTATATTGATTTATAAATTATTTTCTTATTTTATTTCCACACTTTACGATATATAAGTGATGTGTTTATGTGGTTATTATTAAATAGCGTTGCCTTTTATAATCAATCAATAGATTTTAATCAATACACAAATATTTGCTGATAAAAACTGTATGACATTTATGACATCAAATTTATAGCCGTTATGGAAATGTGGTGTTTTGTTTTGTGATAAACTAATTTAGACGTATTTCACTTCATTAATGAGATATTTATTTTGTACAGAGAAAAGGGTTTTGTTAAGCAAAAGTAATTTATAAGAATTTTAATGTCTTTTTACTGTAAAATGAGTGAATGAATGGTTACAAGAAAAATCGATTTATAAAATAAATTTGAATAAAATTGATGGCAATATAATACATATAAATAAAGAGAAAATGAAAATTCTGTAAACAATATAAAGTTTACATTATTTTTTCGCTGAAAAAACACACGAAATTCAATAAAACCCGGAATATATTTATTATAGTGTACAATAAGGCAATGGGAGTTAGAGATAGAGAATATTCTCTAGACATGACAAACAGAATATATTCTTACATTAAATGTATGACAATGGATATAAAAAATTTATTTATTGTTGTACTAAATTATACGTGAAATATTAATTCATTTGATTCACTGTAGTATTGATATCACAGTAAATATTGTTGTATTCCGTAATAAATTTATTTTAATGATATACAATATTTAATCTAATAATTGATAATGAGACATTATAAATTTAATTAGTTTAATATCAAAATCAATTAAACAAATACTTCTCACTTATTAAATCTATCAAAGAATATATATCAATGAATTAGCAAAAAGTATTAATTACAGTAATATCATAAGTGATAATTTATTTTAAAAAATAAATTAAAATAACAAATTAAATGAAGTTTGAGCTTGCGAATTATAATGATTAAGTAAATAATGATAGTAAAAATATTATAATTAATAAAAATTAATTGAAATACAAAACTGAACCAAAAGAGCAAATTATAATGAAATAAATACTTGCGATGTATGACAGGGACGACAACCCCGAAACGGCGCAACTCTACGAACCCTTTTGAACAGTCGCCGGAAGAAGAGGTGAAGGATGTGCTGAGTGGGGGTCACTCGCCGGTGGCCACAGCCATCGCCGACATGACCGCAGACTTTTACAACGCAATCAACGCCACCGCCTACGAGCCACCGGCGCCCGACTCGGCGTACAAGCCGTCGCCATCGGTGGCCAAATCGGCGGTCGACGCGACGCAACCGCAGCAGCCGTTTGATCCGTTCGCCACCATTCACGACGACGACACTCCCAAACGCCAGTCGGTCACCGACGACATGACCACCGGCGCCACAATTGGTGCCAATAAAGTGCTGTCGCCTGACGGCGGCGACCCGTTCGCAGCCCACGACATCATTAGCCCCGACTCGCCGCCGGTGTTACCGCCGCCCGACCACTCGCTGCTGGCGGCCATCAGCGACCAAAACGACTATTTAAGCGATTTGTCGGACGTCGAGGACAACGCCGACAAAGACTTTCAAAATGATATCATTTCTAATAATAATAACAATACAGTCAACGGCTCTAACGGTTCCCGAAGAAGAAGTAGTGCCTTTCAAATGGAATTATTATCAGGTCTTTGATCATCACTTTTTAGATACAAATTTCTTAAGACAAAGTTAATTAGCATTCAATTTAATTGATAACTCTTAAGAGTTGTGAATTACAACTGGATAAATATTTTTCATTTTTATAATTTCATTAGTAAACCCGTAATGTTTGTCAATAATACTACAGTACAAAGTGTATCATATATACATTTATAATAAAATAAACTGTAAATATACCGCTAATTAAGACTCATCACTAATTACCATGCATAAAAATAGAACTTATAATTAAATCCTCTAATATTGTAAAACATTTTTTTCTCATTCCTTGACATTAACTGATAATTGCTGTGCAGTACAGTACTGTGTACTTTGTATAATACCGGTATTATTTTTATAATTTTTAATTGTTTTTCCCATTCAAGTTTTGTGTTACTTTGTAAATATTATTCCAGTTGTAATTCACATCTAAAAGGATAAAAAATAATAGTTAATAATGAACTTAATAGCTATTATTATTAAATGTGAATTAACCAGTGTAATTTATAAATTAAATAATTAATACAATTGAATCCGTATGGGACGGACAGGTGATAAGAACTCGCCGGCGCCCACCTTCGAGCCATTGCCGGCCACTAATATACTACAGCGGAAACCATCGCTTCCACCACAAGAGCCGCCCGAAGAGCTGATCGACGTCTCGAACTCATATCAATCGCCAATCACTTCGACACAAAACCCATACTTCGATCCCTTTCAGACTGTCTTTGACAAAGACCCCGAAGAAGATGTCACCGAAACAACTGTATTCAACTCACAGCCCATTGTGGCTGAGGTTTGTATCCATTCATTACAATCAACACCTCTTATAATGCATTACCACAAGAATATTCTGTTAATTAAGTCCATATTGAGCACAATTTTAAGACAACTGTCTATACATTCATAGATCACAAGAACCGAGAGCTTAGACAAGTCTACCAGAAGACGACTGTCCACTCAGGACTCCATTCAGGACTCGGGTCAGCCCAACAAAGACGCCATCGGTATAGTGAACGACGCGTTTGACGAGACGCTGGCGGAGGCCGTCGACGGACAGGACCTGTCGGCCGACCGGGACGTCAGCGGCAGTGCAGTCGTCAGCAGTGGCGACGACTACTACTGCGGCGCCGACGCCGACATCAGCGGTGCGCTCGACTCGCAGACCAGCGACGGAACCAATGCTTTGCATTCGGGAAGCGTGACGACCGTCGAGACGACCACAAACGCCGTGACCTTTGGGGCGACGACCGACTCGGGAGTGGCCGTTGTCTCACAGATGGACGACATCACGGACTGCGGGAAAGACCCGTTCGACACATCAGAGTTCGATTCGGCGGCCTTTGACGCCTTCGCCACCAAATTCGACTCGACGTCCGGCGCCGGCACTGCCGACAACTCGACCGCCTCTTACGATCCGTTCGCGTCGCCCCTCAGGAGCGCCAAAAAGACGGCGACGACAGCGACGACAGCCGCCGACGACTCGACAGAGGCCGACGTGTTTGACATCTTCGACCCCTACGCCTCCCGGTCCGCCATTAAGGCGCCGAAGAATACGCCCGCGAAGAGCATCAAAGACACCCAAAAGGACTCGTTTGATGAGTACGGCGAGGACTCCGACAACTTGAGGATAGTTATCAGGGCTAAGATGAAGGAGAATATCGGCGACAGTAAAGGACCGCAATTGGGTCAGTAGTCAGTCACTCATGTATTAAATAATACAACTAATCGTGTGTTATATGTGTCGACCCCTACAGCGCCACCACTACTGCCACCGCCGCCAAAACCATCAAAATTCTCGACCCTCGAGAACATGGATCTCATGCCAGAAGAGGATGCGGTGGTTGTGGACGAGTTCGAGGCGTTCTTCGGCGGCGGACAGCTGTCGGCGGCCGCCCAACAGGTAATGCCGGCCGGCGGTGAACAGGAGTGGCCGACGGCTTTCGGTGAGGCGGCCTCCAAGAGAGCCGACTCCACGGAATCGCCACAAACGCCACTCTTCGATGAGGACACGTCTCAACCTCTGGAGGAGTTCCCCAAGAAGTACGAGGGGGACGGATGGGAAATGCTGTTGCGTTACCCCAACAAGAAGAAGCTGACGGCCACCCGGTGCTGGAAGAAGATATACGTCAAGTTCCTGACCGACACATGTATTTTCCAACTCTTCAACAAGAAGGAGGACAACAACCCCTTCCAGGAGACACCACTACAGGCCTCGTACTCCTTGTCCGACATCTCCACACAACAGTACGACACGTTCGGCAAGATTTTCACTATTAAACTGCAGTACATCTTCTATCGGGAGAGGGTGGGCGTACGGCCCGGACAGATAGCTAAGGTTCGTGTCATTTGTCGCACATTTCTAACTAATTGTCTATAAGTTTCTAATTATTTACGGAAACCCCTATCGATGGACAGGTAATGCAGGGCCAGATCACGTCGATGGGCCAGTTCGCCAAACTGGGGATGCCTTTAGAGCACGCGCCCCAAGTGAGCGAGTTATTCAAATTGGGTTCATTGAACTACACGGACCTCAAAGAGATGCAACTCGTGGTGGAGGAGGCGCTCTTCAAGACGACGATACACAGGGATCGGGCGCTCACTTACAAGACAGAGGAGATCCAGTGCTGCGTTCAGGACGAGCTCTATGTCGAGCAAAACAAAATGGGAATCGTTTCCAAACAGTTGGCCAGAGTTCGCGTCTTCTTCCTGGCCTTTGTCAACGGTTTGTATGATTACTGTCACAACCATTTGGTCCATACATTTGCGACACATCCGCGAGAAAACATAAATCTTATTTATTTTTTACATTCCTGTTAGACGTTTAAAAATTTATTTTATGCAGTTGCTTTTGAATTAAATTGTGGTTTTAATATTTATAAATAAACTATACAGTCTAGTATCACAAGTATAAATAAAGATTTTTATTCCAAGACATTAGTTTAAGAAATTGTCTTATTTTTTAAAACATATATAATTGAATTCTATAATTTTTTCTGGTAATACGAAATAGAAGTTTGATTTTAAATTTTTACTCATAAAATCAATTATAATATTTTTTATTATACTGTTTAAGTGCCAGATTATTGCATAACAGTTTTAATTCAAAATAAATATAATTTTTAAAGATTTGTTAAAAGCATAACATAAAAGAAAAGGCTACCGTATTTTAACGTCATATTAGCATTAATAGCATCGATTATTTAAATAAAATGATAATGAAGCTATTATTTTTCATATGAAATACAGTAGTAGTTTATCTTTTTATTCTTTAAGCACTAATAATAATTTATGTCATTAATGTTATGAATACATTAAAATCCAGTAATAACTTAATAAAAATACCATTAAATAAAATATAACAAACAAAATAATTATTGTTTACAACAACAAAAATATGGATTTAAGACTAATATCATTTCTATTTGACAGGAATGCCTGTCATCGAAGTGGGCATCAATGACCTGAAACGTCAGGGCAAAGAGGTGGTGGGCCGGCACGACATCATCCCAGTGGTGACCGAGGAGTGGATCCGACTGGAGGCCTGGGAATTCCACTGCTGTGTACAGCCCGAGGACTTTGATTTGACACGAATTATAAAACTCATACCTCCGGACGCCTGTCACTTCGAGTTATTGCGGTACCGGATACGACCCCCGCGTAATCGGGAACTACCCCTACAAGTGAGCGCCAACATGAATATCACGAAATCCAAGGTGGAGATCAAGTGCGACGTGTTGGTGCCCGGGTGTATATCTCGAAAGCACGGACAGATACCGTGCGAAGACATACAGATCCGGTTCCACATTCCCGAGTGTTGGATATACTTCTTCCGTACGGAGAAACACTTCCGATACGGGGCTCTCAAGTCTGTCAATAGAAGGGCCGGTAAAGTAAAGGTATGCAACAAATATGATACAAAACACTTAATTAAGTCTTAATTATATGAGTTATTAATACCTTATGTCTAATCGCAACGACAGGGCATTGAGAGGCTGTTGGGCACCACTCAGAACCCGGAGCCGCAGATGATTGAAGTGACCGCAGGTCAGGCCAAATACGAACACGCGTTCCACTCCATTGTCTGGAGAATACCCAGACTTCCCAAAGAGGGACAGGGTCTGTAACCATTGATTAATCTCCCAAATTGGCACTAATACCTAACTGTATGCTTCCGGATGTGTAGGCGCCTACACGCAGCAGTTCTTAGTGGTACGCCTACCGCTCACCTCTTTCGATCAGATGCCGGAGTCGTTCTACGAGTTCGTTCACATCGAGTTCCGGATGCCGTCGACCACTGTCTCCCACACGACCCTCCGCTCAATATCGGTGACCAATGAGAACCCGCCCGAAAAGTTTGTCCGATATTTGGCGAAATATGAGTATAAAATCGAGTTAAACATCACGTATGATGAGAAGGAGGAGCCGGCTCAGTACGCGGCCAATGTGCACGGGGGTGCCGGTGCTGTGGCCGCCCGTAAGCCGTCCGCCACCTCCAACGACGAGAATAACGAGAATAAGATGGAGACGGAGGCCAAGAGTGAGAGCGAAGACAGCGACTAATAATAATATAAATACAAACATAAACTGCAATAATATTGACATTTATTTAGTTATTTATTTTGAGGGCATTTACGGGAACGGGAGGCCTCTTATGTTCTCATCAATACATTACAAGAATTCCAGTGTTTTTCGTGTTATATTTTTGACTGTTTTTATAGAAGTTGTTATACAAGCATATAATCAATTCATACCACAAAACAATTGCATTTATTTATTGTTTCATTCACTTGTTTAATAGTTTTCTGGTGCAGCATGGTACAGTTATTCGCATATATTTATTAATTATTAAATAATATATTAGCTATTTATTCAGTATATGAGACACGAAATCCTACAAATATAGTGCAAAAATTGTTTTTGATTTATAATTTGTCATCCAATAGTTTAATCAGTAATAATAAACGAAAAATGCTTAATAAGAAAAACAAATAAATACTACCAAAATCTAATTAATAATATGAATATAACATTTGGGAATTAAGATTAATTTGTGTGTTTTGAATAAATAGTGGTTATAAATATTAATCACAAATTCTGATATAATCCCGTAATTATCAGATTATTAAATACACACATCACCTAAACATTATAACGCTAATGTCTAAATAATTAGATAATATATCAATTATTTAGATATTTAAATAAAAATGAACTTCAAGTATACATTAATGTAATATCATTACGAGAAATGATATTTAAAAATAATATATTAATATCGGAAAAATTAATTTATATAAATGTACCCAAAAAACAAGTAGAGATCAAGGTTTTCAATTATAATCAGTTGTATATTATTTTTCTCATTAGTCTATCATTTTGTAAATTTATTTTTGTTATTAATTTAAATAAATACATAACAAATAAACTAAAAACTCATATCTACTACAACTTTGTGCTATTGATTGAAAAAACATAAAGCAATTCAATAAACAATTATTGAATAATAAGTGAATGAATTGAAACAACATTTAAACAACAAATTATAATTAAAACAAATAACAAATTTTGTTAAATATATGATTAATGTATTTGTTTATAAAATATATTATATATAATATATAAATGAGTTCTAATTAATGGAAATCTAATAGAGAATTAATTAAATTTAAAGTTTTGTTTAAAAAAATTTTCCTATTTATTTAAGAGTACAATTAATTTGGCTATATAAACGTAATTATCTATATTTACATTTACTCAAAAATCGATCTTATTTAGCATTTAAGTTAATTGACATGGATTGCTATACATTCAGCATAAATTGAATATCCTAATGATAAGTTGGAAATGTATGCTGTTGTGTTATTTAGTAGGTAAGTGTTTGTAAATAGATTTCAATTACTACAGAATTTATCATCAAATAGATTAATATTAAAATGCACTGGTAATATTACGGACCACTGGTAATATTAAAATGCAAACAAATAATAGCTATTTTTTAATATTTAAAAAGCATTTACAATTTATTATGTAGAAACAATTGCTAAAATACTATTTATATTACTTAAATTAAATATAATTTTTTGAAAAACAAAACAATTTACTTAAATTTATTTAAATAAAATTTTACTTTTATTGATGTTAATCAGAGTAAGAACTGAAACATTATTTTAAGACCATTTGATTTCAAAGTAAAAATTAAGATTACACATTTAAAGTCAAATAATCACATTATATTATCTAATATTAAAAATATGAAACAATGAGCGAACATAGAGAATAACTTTTATGTGAATATAAAGGATATGACTTTTATTTATTATAAAGATGAACAAGTTTTATTTTTCTTATCTTTAAACACATCTTTTAGATATTATATTAATGAAAACAGATAATGATTTTCAGATGAATAACATTTTTACATAACTTATATAAATATAAAGAAAACACATCATATTTTTATAAATGGTTTAAGTTGTTGTAAATGTGCTGTTTTGAAAGTTAGTGCTCATAATTAATTTTGATAAAAAATATTTGCAGTTAATATTCAAAAATATTTCTCCAAAATTTATGAAGAATTTTAAATATGAAGTATTTGGTAAGTGTATTAAATACAAATATAGTAAAGTATAGTAAAATTAGTTTGTAAATAATTAGCATAATGTTATGATAGTTAACAAAATACTATTAAATATCTAATATTTTAATGATGTCAATCACTTTAAGATGGTTATTTTATTGGTTTCAATGGTATGGTCATCAGTGACGGCAACATTTGTGGAGTGGACAGTGGCTAAGATGTATGGCTTAAAGAAACTACTTTATATATACCTCAAACTTAAATACGGGGCTCTGTTTGCGCCCTATTACCTCTATTTCCACGGGAAGGACTACAACCCCTTTCGATACAACTCTATGCAACATATTGTGAGAGAGAAACGGTTTATTAATTGGTCTCAATTTCACTAATTATTAAATTAATTTTGCCTTTAGTTTATTTCTAACATAGGGTTACATTTTACATTTATTGTATAACTATAAAATATAGTCTATAATTCTCATTATGGGTAATATACTGTACTATTATTTCAACATAAAACTGTCAAATAATTTTCTAGAATATTAAACTATTAATATCCGTTTTAAATTTTATATAATTGGTAGGACTCGGCTTATGAGTTTAATTTTAGAAAGGTAAATACGATATTTTTTATTTTAACTACCAACAATATTTAATCATTAATTTTATTTAATTAATAAAAACATTATCAATTTCAATGGTGTGAACACTTTTCTCATTCAACGTAACGCTCAATGATTTTGATTTCACACTTAAAT